ACACCCGGTTACTATAGTTCTCCAGCATCACAATCCTGTGCCTGTGGGAGTGGAGAGCCTCATCCAGTGACACCAGGTTCCTCTAGTTCTCCAGCGTCACACTCCTTTAGCTGTGGGAGAGGACAGCCTCACTCAGTGACACCAGGATTCTATGTGTCTCCAGCATCACACTCCTGTTGCCGGGGGAGGAAACAGCTTCACTCAGTGATACCAGGTTCCTGTATTTCTCCAGTATCACACTCCTGCAGTTGTGGGAGGGGACTGACTTACCAGGTGACACCAGTTCCTCTAGTTCTCCAGCCTCACACTCCTGTAGCTGTTGTGGGGGACAGCCTCACCTAGTGACATCACATTTCTGTTGTTGTGCACCATCACACTCCTGTGGCTTTGGGAGGAGATAGCCACACCCATTGACACCGGGTTCTTGTAGTTCTTCAGCATCACACTCCTGTGAATGTGGGAGGGGACAGCCTCACCCATTGATATCAAGTTCCTATACTTCTCCACCATCACACTCCTGTAGCTGTGGGAGAGGACAGCCTCACCCAGTGACATCAGGTTCATACACTTCTCCAGCATCACACTCTTGTATAAGTGAGAGGGGACAGCTTCACCCATGACACCGTTTCCTGTAGTTCTCCACCATCACACTGCTATAGACATGGGAGTGGACAGCCTCACCAAGTGACACCAGGGTCCTGTAGTTCTTCAGCATCAAACTCCTGTACCTGTGGGAGGGGACAGTCTCACTGGTACAGCCAGGTGCCTCTAGTTCTTTAGCATCACTGTCCTGCATTGTGTGAGAGGACAGCCTCACCCAGGGACACTAGGTTCATTTGGTTCTCCAGCATCACACTTCTGTAGCTGTGGAAGGGGACAGCCTCACCCAATAACATGAGGTTCCTGTTTTCTCCAGCATCACACACCTGCAGATTTGGGAGGAGACAGCCTCACCAAGTGACACCAGGTTCCTATAGATCTCCAGCATTAGACTCCTGTAGCTGTGGGAAGACAGCCTCACGCAGTGACACCACATTACTCTAGTACTCCAGCATCACACTCCAGGAGCTGTGAAAGTGAACAGCCTCACCTAGTGATACCAGGTTCCTATCATTCTGTAGCATCACACTCCTGTGGCTGTAGGAATGGACAGCCCAACCCAGTGACATCTGGTTCCTATAGCTCTCCACCATCACACTCCTGTAGCTGAGGGAGGGAACGGCCTCACCCAGTGACACCAGGTTCCTCTAGTTCTCCAGCATCACACCCCTGTAGCTGTAAGAGGGGACAGCCTCACCAAGTGACACCAGATTCCTATAGTTCTCAGCATCACACTCCTGTAGTTGTGGGAGAAAATAGCCTCAACCAGTGACACCAAGTTCCTATAATTCTCCAACATCACACTCTGTAGCTGTGGGAAGGGACAGCCTCACCCAAAGATACAAGTTTCCTAATGTTCTCCAGAATCACAGTCCTGTAGCTATGGGAGGGGACAGCCTCACCCAGTGACACCAGGTTCCTGTAGTTCAGCATCATACTCTGTAGTTGTAGGAGGGAACAGCCTCACCCAGTGACTCCAGTTACTATATTTCTCCACCACCACACTCCTGTAGCTGTGGGAGGTAACAGCCTCAACCAGTGACCCCAGGTTCCAGTAGTTCTCCAGCATTACACTTCTGTAGCTGTGGGAGGGGAAAAGAGCCTCACACATTGACACCAGATTCCTATAGTTCTCCACCATCAGACTCCTGTAGCTGTGGGTGGGGACAGCCTCACCCAGTGATACCAGGTTCCTATAGTTTCCCAGCAACACACTCCTGTAGCTGTGGGAAGAAAGAGCCACACCCAGTGACATGAGAATTCTGTAGTTCTCCACCATCACACTCCTGTGGCTCTTGGAGGGGACAGGCTCCCACTGAAACCAGGTTCCTATGAATCTCAACCATCACACTCCTGTAGCTGAGGGAGCTTTATCCAGTGACACCAGATTCCTCTAGTTCTCCAGCATAACTATTCGGTACCTGTGGGAGGGAACAGCCTAAACAGTGACATCATGTTCCTGGAGTTCTTAGCATCAAACTTCAGTAGATGTGGGAGGGGACACCCTCACCCAGTGACACCAGGTTCCTGTAGTTCTCTAGCATCACACTCCTGTAGCTGTGGGAGGGGACAGCCTCATCAGTGATACTAGGATCCTGTAGTTCTCCACAATCACACTCCTGTTAGGTGTGGGTGGGTACAGACTTACCCAGTGACACCCGGTTCGTATAGTTCTCCAGTATCACACTCCTGTATGTGTTGGAGGGAACAGCCTCACCCAGTGACAGCAGGATCCTGGAATTCTCCACCATCACACTCTGGTACCTGTGGGAGGGGAGAGCCTCACTCAGTGACACCAGGTTCCTATAGTTCTCCACTCCTGTCGCTGTAGGAGGGGAGAGCCTCATTCACTCAAACCAGTGGGAGGCCAACCTTACTGGTGACTGAGTTTCACTCCCCAGCTGAGTGCTGAGGCGCTCAGTCACAGAAATGGGTGTGTCTTGCTACAGCCCCATGGGTGAAGCTATGCTCACCTGTTCCTTTGTAATATAACCCCTTGCTCTGTTTAGGATAGAATCTTCCATGGAAGTGCCTTGTGTGTGTGTCCCCTCCTCTTATTGTGCCCTTGGGTGTGGCCTACCCAGGTGTCAGTCAACCTGCTGACAGTGGACATCATGAAGACAGACTCAGCCCCCTGAAACCTGACCCCTTGCCTCATTTGAACAGCTTCTCCTCAATAAAAGGGGTCAGTGCGTGCTCTCGCTCTCTCTCTTTCTGCAGACCCTTAAGGTCAGAGGAGCCGTCACAGCGACCCCAAAGAAAAAGGTATTTGTGTCTCTTGTGTGGTTATTTCGTGCAGCCCAGTTAGCCCAGTTTAACTAGAGAGACCCCTGAGCCTTTTAGTCACGAGAACAGAAACCCGGCAGTCTCCAACATCCATCTCCTGTAGCTTTAGGAGGGAACAGCCTCACCCAGTGACTCCAGGTTTGTGTAATTCTTCATTCTCACACTCCTGAAACTGTGATAGAAAACAGCTTCAGCCAGTGACACCCAGTTCATGTAGTTCTCCACTATCACACTGCCGTAGCTGTTAAAGGGGACAGCCTCAACCAGTGATACCTGGTTTGTATAGTTCTCAAGTATCACACACTTGTAGCTGTGGGAAGGGAGAGCCTCACCTAGTGACACCAGGTTCCTATACTTCTCCAGCTTCACACTCCTGTAGCTACAGTAGGGAACAGCCTCACCCTGTAACATCAGAATCCTATAGTTCTCCACAATCACACTCCTGTTAACTGTGGAGGAGACAGCCTAACCCAGTACACAGGTTCCTGTAGTTCTCCAGCATCATACTCCTGTAGCTATGAGAGAAAAGACCCTCACTTAGTGACACCGAGTTCCTGTAGATCTCTGCAATACACTCCAGTAGCTGTGAAGGGGACAGGCTCACACAGTGACACCAGGTTCCTATAGTTCTCCAGCATCACACTCCTGTAGCTTGGTAGAGGACAGCCTCACCCACTGCCAGGTTCCTGTAGTTCTCCACCATCACACAGCTGTATATATGGGTGGGTACGGTCTCACCAAGTGACACAAGATTACTGTAGTTCTCCACCATCACACTCCTGTACTGGTGGGAGGGGACAGTCTCACCCAGTGACACCAGGTTTTTATAGTTCTCCACCATCACACACCTGTAGCTGTGAAAGGGGACAGCCTCACCCAGTGTCAAGAGGTTCCTAAGCACTCTAGCATCAAACTTCTATAGCTGTGAGATAAAAAAACTTCAACCACTGAACCCAGGTTCCTATAGTCTCCACCATCAAACTCCTGTAGCTGTGGGAGTGAAGAGCCTCACAAACTGACACCAGGTTCCTATAGTTCTCCACCTCCACACCCTGTAGCTGTGAAAGGGGACATCCTCACCTAGTGACATTAGTTTCCTATAGTTCTCCAGCATCAAACTTCTATAGCTGTGAAAGGCGACAGCCTCTCTCAGTGATATCAAGTTCTTGTAGTTCTCCAGAATCACACTCTTGTAGCTCTGGGATGGGACAGCCTCACCCAGTGACATCATGTTCTTCTAGTTCTTCAGCATCACATTCCTGTACCTGTGGGAGGGAACAGCCTCACCCAATAACACGAGGTTTCTGTAGTTCTCCGCAAACACACCCTCTGGCTGTGGAATGATATCAGGTGATATCAGGTTCCTATTGTTCTCCACCATCACACTCCTGTATCTATGGGAGGGGAGAGTCTCACCCAGTGACACTAGGTTCCTATACTTTTTCTACATCACAAACCTGTACCTATAAGAGGGAACATTATAATCCAGTGTCACCAGGTTCCTCTAGTTCTTAGCATCACACTCTTGAGGCTGTGGGAAGAAACAGCCTCACCCATGACACTAGGTTCCTATCGTTCTCCACCATCACACTCCTATAGTGGGAAGGGGCAGCCTAACCAAGTGACACCATGTTCCTATAGTTCTCCAGAATCACATTCCTGTACCTGTGTGAGGTGACAGTATCACCCAGTGACACTTGGTTCCTGTAGTTCCTTAGCATTACACTCCTGTAGCTGTGGGAGTGGATAGCCTCACCCAGTGACACCAGGTTCCTGTAGTTATTCAACATCACACTCCTGTAGCTGTTGGAGAAGACAGCCTCACCCAGTGCTACCAGGTTCCTGTACTTCTACACCATCACAGTCCTGT